TCCAACTAGCATTCATCACCATTATGTTCAAAAATAATTTGACAGCAACGGGTGTCTTTAAGTGACACATTTAAGTTTTCACAGGAATATTGAGCTGCTTAGCGGTGCAACAACAACAGTGCGTACTGTCAGATGGGACCCCCTTAGGGAGGTTTTCTACTGCCATTGTGTAACTTGGAGTCACTGCTACATGTGGTTTAAAGTTTATCAGTCCATGGTTGGGCCCCCTAATGGTCTGGGGCCCCAAGCAGTTGCCTGCCATACCTGTTGACAAGCAGCGCCTCTGTCCATGGGAGATGTGAACACCGCTTTATGACGTAATTCTAAACCGAGCCTGTCGCTTGGAAAACTGTCGTATCAACACATACGGTCCTGTTTCATCCTCTGAGCTGCACGGTAGATGTGGATGCGGGGAGAGGGTCGTTGGTGGTGTCTCAGAAACAACAAGACCATCCACAGTTAGCAGGATGGACTCAGTCCAAGAGGGTTGCCATGGTTGCTTCTTTTTCTTTCTGCTTTTTGGCGGATTTATTAATCAATTTTGTGCATACTGCCCCCTGCTGTATTGGACTGTGTACATACACAAATGTAATCGGTTACAGAACGATGTTACTAATGTGAACGCAGACCAGCGGAGGAGGAAGCAATCGAGCTCAGGCATGGCTGTAGGCTAATGTTTGGATAACGGTCCTGATTGTGAGAGTTAAATTAGGTCTGATGATTCCCCTCAGATAACAGCCAGATGAAATTAAAGTCTAACCAGAGACAGAAGCGACACACACAAAAAAGAAACACTAGGTTGAAAAGACAAAGATCTCCTCTTTATTCAATTTGGAGGATGTGTCTGAAATGTGACCAGAATTTAAGTTTCGGGTTTCTCGTTATTGTTCCCCGTCTGACGCGGTTGTCAGCTCATATTCGGATCACGCAGTGGAATAGATGAAACCAGTCGCCCGGTGAAATCAGATAAAAGCACAAATGAGCGGGAAGGTCGGTAGTGTGCTCATAATGAATAAACTTATGGTTGTGTGGATCTGCGCCCGAGGCCGAGCGAGAGAGGTTAATGGAAACAGAAAGCGAGAGAGAGAGAGAGAGAGAGAGAGAGAGAGAGAGAGAGAGAGAGAGATGACAGGTGCAGGGTAATTATTCAAGAGCTCGCGTAGTGATAACATGTTTTAAAAGGTTAGACATTAAAGGGTTAATATGCGATTTTTCACACTTAAATGTCATAGAAATAAAGTATATCCTCTGAAAATAACTCTGTGAGTCATGACTGTCTACAATGGGTGTAACACCCGAGTCCCACTGTCTGTGATGTTTTCAGAGTTTTCAGAGTCCTATCTTCAGTTTGTTTACATCGCCGGGACGGCCGGCTGACTCCTCCCCTCGTGTATAAAAGTTGTTTAATTGAGGGACTAGAGAAAAGAAGAATAACATACTGTACTCACTGCTTAACTGCGTTTCTAGATCACGCTCATTTCAGGTAAATTTACATGCAGTGTGAAGATACGAGCATAATAAAGATCGCTAGCATTAGCATGCTAACACAACAATGCAGCGCGAGTTGTTTTGGTTTCATTCTGGTGCTCAAGGGCGACATCTGCTGGATCAAAAAATCGCATATAAAGCCTTTAAGTGTGTTTTATTACACCTGATTATGTGTGGTTAAAAAATATAAATAATTGTAATGACTCTTTTTTTGTTTGGAGTTGGTCTCAGTGACGTCACTCATTGGTTTCTGAAAAGGCAATTTGAAGCCAACATTGGCGGTAACCATGTTGGAAATTTGGAAATGCAAAATGAGTGATTCAGAATTGGGATGCAACAATGCATAGTTTCAACATCGTAATCGTCCGATGTCGGTCCTATTGACCGACATCGGCACACAATAATGTGGTATGAAGCAACTTCAGTAGCTGACGTTTATTTGTTGTGAGATGAGGTTCAGGGGTGAGTTTTTTTTTAATTGGGCAGATGGACAAACTCATCGTCAAACATGAGAGAAAATGTCGGCCTTGTGGGAGTCTGACACCAAAAGAAGTAGGTACACTGAGGTCACTCTCCTCTCAAAATAAATCAAATTCAATTAACCTGGGTTACACATGGAACAAACATCGGCATCAGCAATCGGCTAACTTGTTATTTCAAATATCGGTATTGGCCGATTTTCCCAATCGGTGTAGCTCTAATTTCAGCACAAACTGGCTTTTGTACCAGGCTGCCCCTCACATCGCCCTATACTGCCTATGTCACGGGCCGGCCCTGGCAGCGCCCAGCGTCTTTTTCTCCGAGCACTGCCCCCTTTTTGTACGGCCGCTCTGAGCGCTCGCGTTGAAAATCGTTCAACATTTCAGAAAGGCGCTGTTGACGTCCCCGGCGCTCTTCCAAAATGTTAGATTTCCCCCGTATTTTTGTTACCTACAGATCGTGTCTTGTACCCACATCCTCCTCGCTTAATGTCTGATCGGGGGAAAAAATATCTCAAATATAAAACATGCATTAAAAAGTAACGGAGCAGTGTCGGTCATACAGCGGCCATTGTCAACCGACTGTTGAGACAGGACGTACGTGCAGCGTTTTTTCTTCTCAGCGGACAAACACTTCATGCAAACGCTCCTGAGCGCACAGCCAGCACTTTTCAGCCCAGAAAAAAACACTATGTGGACACGAGGCCTAACATGAGTGTTAGTGGGGCTTCCTAGTCTTTTGGAGACAGCCTCAAGTGGACATTTGAGGAACTGCACTTTCTGCATTGGCTTCATTTTACAACATCGCAGGTTTGGTTAAAGGGAAGACTGTGAGGAGCAATATGGAGACTCAGACCACACAGGAATAAGTACCAACAAATGTATTGTGTTAAAAAAAGAGAACATGTTTAGATATTATTTAAACGGAAGCGTCACAAAATTCATTGTAACGTACTTTTAAAAACTCACCAAACTCACATTTTTTAATCCACAGAACATTTTGGATTTCATCCTGGCAACACTACGTGCACACGCACTCAAAAACAACAGACTGTTGATACACACACACACACACACACACACACACACACACATTTACACACACACAAAACATCGCCTGTTGCCCGGCCCCTCCCTCTCTCTTTATGCTTTTTTTTGTGTGGAAGAATGCCCACGACCCCCACCGCCATCATTACCCCCGGGGCCCTTGGGCATTCATCACCATGTGCATCCCCCCTGGTTTACCCCTCAAACTACCCCCCACCCCCCACCCCACAGCACCCGATTACCCAGACACCCCTAACACCCCCCTCCCCCTCCTCCTCCTCCTCATCATCCTTTTCCTCCCCCCTTTTGTTTGCTTCTCTGTGTAACACCATTAGACAAAGCTGGTTGTTTTGACGGCGTCAAACAACACACTTATTTTATTTTTTACATAATCTCAAATTGATTCATCCCCCTGACACACACACACACACACACACACACACACACACACACACACACACACACACACACACACACACACACACACACACACACACACACACACACATACACACACGTGTTAAGCTCTTTCAAAACAGATCGAGATCCCTCTGGTAACGTAAAAATAAAGGCGACCAGAGCAGTGTGCACTATTGGGACTCAACACACTCAGATGAATGGCAAATTACTGAAAGCTTTTGGAAACAGAGGAAGGAGTGGAGGAGGGAGGGATGGGGGGGGTGGAAAAGTCTGGGGAAGTGAACAGAGGAGGTGAAAAGATGGGGAAAAGTGTGATGTAGGTGGGGGGGGAGCTGGAGTCTGAGAGAAGAGGGAGGATGTTTTGGGAAGCAGCTGGAGGAAGAAGAAAGGGAAGAGGAGGTAAAGGAGAAAGTTTGATCGATCAGAGAGCATGGAAGAAGAGAGATTAGAGGAGAGGAGGAGAGAAGTGTGAGAGGAGAGGAAACATCCCTAGGACAGGTGCTGAAGATTACAAAACAAGATTATTTGTGGATGAAAAAGTCATGGAAGACAAAGACGTGTGGAGAGGAAATGTAGGAGATGATGAAGTGTCTGGAAAATAAGGATTGAGAGAGAAGGAGGAACCGGAGGAGGGGAAGATCTTGCAGGAGACAGAGCAGAGAAAAGTTTGCAGGTGGAAAAAGGGAGAAGAATACGGTTTTAAAAAATGTAAAAAGAAGAAGAGAATAACTACAAAGAATGAAAGAAAGGTGCAGGTAGAACAATATTAGGGGAAAGAAAGGATGCATGAAACAGGCCAAATTAGACGGATGAAGAGTTTAGAAAAGAAAAGCGAGGATGGGAAACATCTGAGGGTGGTGCAGGAATGAGGACAAACAAAGAACAGAGGGATGCTACAAAAAAGTCTCAGAGGATGAAGAGGTGAGGACGAAAATGGTCCTTGGGAAAAACAGGAGGGAGAGTTGGCGAATGACAAGCATTGGGAACTTTTGGGGGAAAGTAAAGATGGAGGAGAGAAGGAAGAAGGGGGATTTGAGCATCTTGGAAAAGGTGCAGCACAGAGGAGACAACAACAAAAAGGAGATGTGGGAAAGAACAGAAATGGTCCAAAAAAAAAAAAAGGGGAAGACATTGGAATAAGGACTGGAGGCGGAGGAGGAAAGTATTTGGAAAGAGTGAAGAGGTCGAAAAGTATGAGGAAGAGGACACAAACTCCTAAGGACAAAAGACAAAAATAAGAGAAGTATGACAGGAAAAGGAGGTGCACGAAAAGGATGAAAACGAAAGGAAACTAGTTCAGGAAGAGGACAACAATGTTGGAAGAGGACACCAAGGTTGGAGAAAAATGAAGGGAGCGAAAGAGTGAATAGGACCAAAAGTATGAGTAAGAGGAAACACACTTTAAGGACGGAAAAACAGGAAATAGGTTGAGTTAAAGGAAAGATGACAAGAGGAGGAGGAGGGAAGCGTCTTAGGGAAAAGGGGGGAGGGATGAAGTTCGGTTGGGTGAGTGGGTGGGGGGGCATCAACAACCCTTCACCCCTCCCCTCCCCTCCCCTGATGATGAGCAGGCTGCCGAGCGCGCTGCTCTCCTCCGTGCGTTTTGTTTCCCTCTCACACACAAAGTACCCGAAAAGCACCGATCCGTTTCCGAGCCAAACCAAGCCAAGCCGAGCCACAGCGTGCGTCTGCGCCCCGCAAACTCAACCACCCCCCGCCTCCACCACCGCCACCACTCCCACCCTCGCCTTCACCGTCTCCCACCGCCGTCTCTCTGGCAATGGATCCGTAAGCAGCCTCTGTGTGCTTAACTGAGCCGAGCGTGTGAACCAGCAGCGGATCCGCGGAGACAGCTGAGACCAAGCGGCTATGGAGGAGCAGCGCAGGGAGGCTGGAGTCTAGACTGCACGCAAATCAACAAGACCCACTCATCCGGATTACTTTTTGCAACATTTTTGAACTCTAGAGTCACTGTTAGACCCGGGGATTTCGTTTTTATTTTCTCTGCTGATCATCTCCTATCATTTGCACGGCGAGGATGCAGGGGAAGGAGGCGAGCGTGTTTTGCACGGGATGCTGGAGACTAACGCTGCTGTCGTTCGTCCTGGTTCTGCACTTGATCCCACTGAGTGTGCACGGTAAGAAAAACACCTTTCAATGTGCACTTTGCATGCACATTTTTCTCCATTTTCCTGCAGCAGCTGCACGTCCTCTCTGTGGATTCAGGGTACCTAAACACACTCCCACAGTGCAGCGTGAAAGGAGGTCAGTAAGCCGGGTTAGGAAAAGCACATCACACTGTGGCATTCACGGAAAATGTGAGTCAAAAAACATCCTAAACACGGTAATGTTGACATTTTACAGTCACTGGAAATTAAAATAAATCGGATTTTGTATAACCTGCCCTTAAAAAACGTGCGTAATACACATCTTTAGAGGGAAAATCTCTCTTGTGTCATCCTAAAGGAATATTATTTAGATTTTAATATTTGATATCAATGCCTAAGGGACAGAAAATGTAATTTTTATGTTTTTATTCAACCCTTTGTTCCTTCAGGACTACTCGAGAGATGTCACACGAGACAAAAAAGCGCATAAAGCGAAATTAGGTCACAATAAAGACTCAAGTAGACGGTCCTAAATCCTTATGAATATGATGGAGACACAAGGGGAGGCAACATTTAGGTCACTTTCAATTCATTGGACAAACCGCAAAACAGGAGATTATAGGATGGTGTTTCAAATAGTATAAGATTCCCAGTGTTAAGAATCATATTAAAAGAATGTTATGGAGGTGTTTTTTTTTTTTTTGCACAATGAGGTCACTATCAGTTCCATGCTGAGTGTGGCAGACATTGTAAGTCATCAGGCAGCACGTAGGGTTAAAGAAATGCCATTTAACTCAATCCAGACGCTGAACAAACACCGATAGGACATGTCAGGAGGAAATCAGAGCAGAATCAGATCACTTAATGTACACTAGGGTTCACTATGAGACACTTTGTGTGATATTAAAGGAGAAATCAGAGCGATGTGTGAGAGTGACAGCGGCCAGCCGATGCAGTAAACCGGATCCCCGGAGGCGCACTGGCACTACAGCGACACAAAGGCGAGGATTAGAGCCCGGGGACCTGATGAATAATTCATGAGGGGGATCTGGACGCACATTCTGATACACACAGAGGGAAGAGAAGAAGAAGAAGAAGAAGAAGAAGAAGAAGTAGAAAAAAAAACCATGAGTAAACATTTAACAAAAGCCTCTCTTTGTTTGAGAGTCATCGCATGCGCGCGACAGGCTACATTACTGTCAGATTAACGATGAAGGCGCGTGCACGAGATGAAATCACTGTGGCGTTATAATCCAATATAATCTGTCTGATTCTTGTCATCGCATAGGCTGACAATCATGGTGTGTGAAGGCAAGGTGATGTCCAGCCAAATTCGAAAAATCGGGGGTTTAATTGTGCACGTGTGTGTGTGAGAGGGAGGGATTGTGCGTGCGTGCGTGCGTGCGTGTGTGTTAAATCAGCAAAGGGAAACAGTCACATCAGTGAAACATCCAAGAGCATGGTCTCTTCTTGGATTCATGTATGTCTAAGACAAATATATGTGGATTTAGCACACACACGATGCTGTTTAAGTCACGAGCCTTTGTTGCAGATCTCCCCTTAAATGCAAGGCTTCTTTTAATTAAAATTTTATTTTGAAGGGGGCTTTTAGTGCCTTTATTTAGGGACAGGACAGTAGATAGAGAGTGAGACGATTTGCAGGATGATTTGAACCCGGGCGTGCACACTAACCACTAGGTGCACCTTCTATTTTATTTTAAAGAGGATTTTATTCTCCAGAAACATAAAGAAATATACAAGTTTGGTCCAGTTCTTCAAAGTTTGTCCAGGAAGTTCAGTGCAAATGAACTTAAAGCACCTGTTATGAGTTTCCATCTCGTCTCAAACCGAATGAAGTTCATACCTCATCTCGTTCGATCAAGTGTTAATAAAAATGTATTTTCGCTGCAGCAACATTAAAGCAAACAGTCACACAATGCAATGCAACAATGCATGTTGCTGCAGTAGAAGAAGCATAAACTTGTCCATCTGCAGGTCGAACATCTCTCTGCTCTGTAAGGCCGCACTTTGGCTCATGTGGTGCTTTAAGCTACATGATGCTCAGCAGGTGTTACGTTCTGACCTCTGAGTGGACTTCTGAGGTTTGTAGCTTTCTTTATACAAGCAGCAGGTCGTGGTCGGGGTTCTGAGTCCCTCCTTAGTATAGAGACTTTACACAGAGGGACAGCCAAGACAGCAGGGGGAGCTCTAAATATTTCGGCATACTATTCTTGAATTTGACGGTCCACGTATGAAACACATTTTTTGGGAATTCATCCTCTGAGTGCCATGAATGTTTCTGCAGAGCCTCACAGTAATTCAGGTGTTGTGATATTTGCATACAGACGTTTCCTTTATCTACTTTTGTGTTTAAATTGTCACATAAAGGGATTTATTTTTGTGTGTTTGTGTCAGTATAGAACATTAAAATTACAACATTTAGCACAGGCTCATTTTATACCCATATCTGATCCTTTACAAGCTGTACGAACCCTCTCTTAGGCCTATATTTGTCATTTTACACGAGTGCTGCAGGGCAGTTGTGTCCGCTGAAACCCAGCTGGAAGTTAAACAAAAAGATTTTGGCAGATCTGGTGCAGACGCATTAAAACAACCTTGGGCTAACCCTCCACCTCCACCACCTTCACACGCTACAACACACACACACGTTCTCGCTTCACCGGTGAAGTGTGGAGGCGGCAGCTTGCCCCACATCTGTGAGGGATGCTCAGACGACCAAAGCTGACTATAGCCTGAACCGAGACAAGAAATCCTGTCAGTCTATGTTTTCTCTGGTGGCCATTTGCAATCCTCCTTCTTCTTCTTTCTTCTTCTGTGGTTAATGTCAATGATGCACCGCCGCTATCCCTCCAATCCCCTCCCTCCCCCATGCATGGTGAAGACAGTAGAAAGGTGATTTGGTTGGATATCAGTTTCTGATTTCTGCACTTAAATTCGTACACGTGCATCCCCTTTTCGATGCCCTTCTCTCCTCTCCTCTCCTTTCATCTTCCTCCTCCTCCTCTGTGTCTCTCGTTCACTCTGGCCTGCTGACACAGATCTGCTCGCTGGCTGATCATCTTTGATGTGCAGTGGGTTAATCTTCAAGCCAAATCCTCCCACCATGACTCCACTAACCCAATCTTTTCATCGCAGTGTAGCGAGAAAAAAAAAATAGAAAATACACACCGCATTTAAAGAAGAAGAAGAAATGGACGATCCTCGAATGTGTGCAGCTAACAGTTCTGGTTATTTCTGAACAATGGCTCTGCACTCCCTCCTCTGCATCCTCTCTGTCGCCATGGAAACCACACACATCCTTGTACACCAGCTGGCAGAACAGCGCGCTCATATCCCCGTCATAAATTCTTCACAATTTGAATTCCATTAGGGCTCAAAGTGTTAGTTGGATTTTGGCACACGCTGAAATTTCTCTCAGAGTGTGGTGGCTCGACGCTTTCTGACCATGCATGTGTGTGTGTGTGTGTGTGTGTGTGTGTGTGTGAAGCCACTGGCAATGGGAGTAGTCCATCATTACCAGTGTTAATTTGCAGATCATATCGCTACTTGTGCCGCTGCATTCATTATTTCGACATAATGATTTCATGAGGCGCTTATGCTGTTTGATTTTCAGCAGATGCACACGTTCTGCTGTTGGCAGCGCAAACATCGACGTTTGTGTCTCGAATTTGAAAGAAAGAATAAAAGACAGCAATGTTAAAGTCACCTTACAAAACATTGCCTTCAGATTATTGTGACAACCTGGAGACTCCCAGTTTCTAGATTCATCTGGCGTCTAAGTAATACTAATCTTGCAACTGAAATCCACCGAAGCCTTTTATCTACATGAGTATTAAACCAATTAAAAGACATCTAAAAAAATTGCATCAATTTAAATTCCACAGATTATTTTCAGTGCTGAGCCAGGAAGATGTCGATCAAATAGTGATCAGCCAGACAAACACGGGCTTGAGAAACGGTCTAAAAAGCTAAACCTTTTCTTTTCAAATTTCTCGATGCAGACTGCCCCTGAAATCTTTTTCAGAGTTTTTTGTTCACACATGCACCTCACAGCAGGAGGCGGTCTTAGGAGGCAGGACATGGCGTTAAAAAAAAAGGCCCAGAAGTGAGGGATGACACTGGGTACGTTCAGTTTGACTTTACGTAGAGGTTCTAAAACACGGTCAGGGTCAAAAATGCGGCTGTTTGCGTTCACACATGCTGCTCCCCTCCAAACCTTCAGGAAGTTTTCAGGAGTTTTGTGCGAGTGTGAAAGCACCATTAAAGGTGTATTTTTATCGCTAAGATTTCTGTGGATGTGGGGACTTGATGCCTTCATTGAGATACAGGTGAAAGGATAGCGGGTAACTACAAGTGGAGAAGGAGCCACAGGTGGGACTCGAACCCGCGCTGACAAGCTTTAAGGACTTTAGCCTCTGTACATGGGTCGTGCAAACTAACCACAACCACCCATACAGCTCATAACCTTTTAACATGAAAGTAATTTTTTTTATTTGAAGATGGCCATAGAAGCAGTGAACGTGATCGAAGACGCAGCATTAAAGCTTGTGTATGTTGAGTGTTGCTAAGTGACATCAGAGCCGCCACAGCTGATGTCTGGTGATTCACCAGGTTACTAACTGCTGAAGCCTTGATGAGGCCTGTTAGGAGAGTAATTGGCAGTAACAGGCAGTCAGGTGTGCAGAGTGGCAGCAGACGGAGAGACTGCGGTGATTTACATTTTGTCATGACTCAGACGTTTCTGTCTGGTGACTCTTCTGTGAGTACATTCAACGATGAGCTGCAGACACTTAAAGGTAGAGTCAGTAGCAGCTTGTAAACACAACATTCAACCTGGGCCCCTCCTCCTCCTGGGTTCATCGCCCCCAGAATCTCACCCTCACTGCAGGACGTAGTGTGTACGTTTACTGCTTGTACCTACACTGCTAGCTACCGCACGCTAGCACAAGCTAACCGCCGGTGTTTGCCACCTGCCTGTCCAACAGGAAGCAGACCAACGCCACGTCCAC